ATCTATTGCTGTGAACATTTGCCAGTGTCAAGTCCAATGCCATGCTCAAACAGGCCTGGGGTTGTCGAGGTCTCTGCCAGGCACCTTCCTTAATCGAAAACATACGTTCAAGGACATATATACTAGCCAAGAGTAACATTGCCAAGTGGATTGCTCACGTCTTGGGACCCTGTCCCCCCCTACAGGCAAAGTGTTGTGTCTGTCAATTTGTTTTTGGAGGGAGCTAGCTGCCTTGGTGGACAAATGTTTGAAGGGGTGTCGGTTCTTGGCCTTTTTTTTTTGCCATTTCCAACGGTGCAGCGGTGAAAGGGTGTCTGGATGATGCGAGGGTATTGCTTATTTAGACTGTCTGCTGTAACTGTTACGTCTTTTACCCTTAGTGCTTTCATCTGTTGATTTGCAAACTCTTACGCTGCATGGTCTTGCGTAGTTTCACTGTAACCCTTGCTCTAACTCTTAAACGTGTGACAGCAACGCTTTGCAGACTTTGTACAGGGCTGTACGTTGTGTTTGTAAGTCGTTCTCTGCACAAGCTCACCCTTAAAACTTGCCAAGAAAGTAAGGAAGCATTTGATTAAAAAGGGCATGGCTTGTTAAAGAGTTTTTGTCAGTTTTTGCAAGTGAAGTATAACATACCATCAGTTGGGTTAAAGAGGTGTGTGTCCTAATTTGCAGACTTTTGCACAGTAATGCTTGGTGCGCATTCTTCAAAAGGGACAGCCGCATTTTTGTATGGTTGACTTATATTATTAACTGTGCCCAACTCCCCATGTAGTGCTAGGGAAGCAAGGAGTACTCCATTAAGTAGGGATTCCGCAGGGAACAAAAGTGATATCCCTGCAAAACGCCAACTCAGTTTCAGTGCAGTACCCTCCACTAGACAGTAAGTATGTCACCATGTTGGTTTAGATGTGCCCCTCCCACCATTGCCTAACCCAGTTCCAGAAAGGGATCATGAGTATATGTATGTCAAATTGTCAATCACTGAATCAGCGAATGAAGTCGAAAGTTTTAAATTTCTTTCTAACTCGTAACTGCTGTGTCATTGTTTTCATCCCAAAGTTCATAGCTGTTAGCGGCAGTCATTTTGAGTTTACTAGTAATTATCCAATGTTTTGTCTACTAACACTAGTAACAAAATGAAAAGAATTCCCAGTTTTAGACAGATTTGAGCATCATTTTATTCTATTACAAAATGTTATAATTCCATTATCATAGACTGTATCTAAATCAAAGTCAATTTCCTCTTATACATTTTACTAATAACAAGGAAATATAATTTTGACTAACATTGATGTATTTTTCATGTACATCTGTGCATCTGCAAGCATTGTTGGTCTTTCTTAGAACTTTGCTACCACTTTTCTTCATCTTATGAAAGCTCTTCTGTGATCTTAAACTTTCTTGAACCTCTCAAGTGTAGGTTAGATTTGAAAGACCATAAATATTCTTTTATGGAGCTTGAGAAATAATTTTAAGATTCTTCCCATATCTATTAGCTGATGTCTGGCTCCTTTCAATTATATCACTTCCCACCAAATCTTCTTTGGCTTGAAAGATATGTTTAGACTATAGAGAGTGTACTAAGAGTTATTGTTTTGATAACATTAGATCCTTTAATGACCTAGTGGGGTGTCTTAGTTTGGATTTTGCTCTTTAACTTTTAAGGAACTGGTCTGTCTTGTCAAAAGAGTTTTCTGATACTGTATTTTCTATCTAAGGCTATGCTTCATATCTTAACTGCAGTCTTGTACTTTGAGCATTATACTATTTATACATATAGAATTTTGCTTTTTGAGCAGATGGTCTGTCTTGTCAAAGAGTCTGTTTTTTCTGAGGCTATTCTTATTGCTACGTATCTCCCCTAGCCTCTCGTACCTTGAGCTTTATAGAATTAACAGTAAATGTGCACGTTCGCCCATCGTTTTCTGGCACTGCTTCTCCCACTCCAGCTGTGACTAAACTCCTCCATCAAGCCTAAAAACATGACGTAGACATTAGTTCTAACCCTGCACTTTCCCCGCTGCATTGTAGAGAAAATACCGCACCCGGGCGTAGCGGCGCAATGCCGCTTGCCTTGCACGATTCGTCCCTATTCCAGCGCCGAAAGGACAGTGTGAGAAAACAGGACGCGATTGACCGGTCGGTATCAATACATGTTCATGGTGCTAGGTGTAATTGCAATGGCACTTGGAGTTGGGGTGTAGGAAATCGGCTGGGGGCTACTGAACATATACAGAATGTTTATGCCTCAATTTAAGGCATCAAACATTCAAAGCTAAGTTCAAGCCATTCAATCTAACCTTGGAGCATTAACATTAATCTGCCACTGAACAAAATGCTAAAATGTACATGTATATATGTGACCTGGTGAAAATATGTTAGTAGACGTTACTAGTTCTATTCAAAAAGTATAGTCAGCTGTAACAACAGTACTTATAGCAATGATTATTAACCTGCCCAGTTCATTTAGCTGTAATAATCGCTGAGGTGTTAATGCAAATAAATAGCTGATTAAGACCAATGGGAATTAAAGTCAAGTGTTGGTGATAATCAATCTCAAATAAATGGCAAATGGTGTCTGAATTGGTGGTTCAGTTTAATGGTGAAATAGCAACTTGGCCATGGCATTTAAAAGGGTAGTAATACTAGTGTTGGTGGTAATTCTGTTGAGACTTTTAAAGTTTAAACTTAAAATACAAAGCCTGTTTGCAACTGATAGAATCAGACAAAATGGACTGGTATAAAAGAGTCTATCAGTATCACAATTCTTGTGGTGGACAATTTGGTTTGGTTTATTAAGAGTATAAGGTGTAATTTTCACCAGTATTGTATCTAAAGCTTAAGACACAGGCGAGATAACTAGCAGATATGGAAGCACACACAGGTAAGTTTGCACAGGTGCAAGTACCGAGGATCTTACCTTCTGGGTTTGTGCTAGCCTACACCAGTCACCCACTTAGGATTTTAGAATTCTACAAAAAGAGGGTGTGACTGGCCAGGGAAGTGGGTCCACCGTTACGGTTTCATTTCCTGCACGGGCAAATGAAGTCTACAGTGGCTTAATTCCCTGGATCTTTGTGCTGTGTACATGTGTACCTAAACCCACATTTAGGTTTAGGTCTGGATTCAAGTCCAGAGGTTTAGGTTCAGGTCCAGACTCGTAAGTGCGGACCTAAACCCATGGCATATATACAACCTTGCATTGTTGTTTGGGCAAAACTTGGACCACATAACATGGAGGCTGATACTTCACGATGCCCAATGGCAATGTATAATTTTGCAGCACAGATTTTGCAATCTATGGAAGGTTTTAGGTGGTTTGGAAAGAAAGGGGTAGTATATGACATGTTTTTTTTTATTATAAGTCCAGAATCGGTTCTTGACTTTTAGGGAAAGGTACACAGCACTGTCTGGATCCCTATTTGGCTAAATGTACTGTTTTTGAAGCCACATTATTAGTCTGGTGTAGGTTTGCGCTATTTCTGCAATGTACTCTACACAGGTACATGTACAGGTACACACATACACAGCACCTATAGTTACAGTATATCGATTTCTACTGTTGGCCAACATTCAATGTTGTATACAGTATTACAGTATGCTTTTAGCTTGTGTTTGTATTCGAATTCCGCACCTAACTTTTCCCTTTACACACCTTTACAGCAAATGCAGGTCAAATGGAAAAGTTGTTTTTTCTTCTTTTTGTTTGTGGAATATAGGAAACAAAGTCATTCACAATTTTTCTTTCTATAGAATTAGAAATGAAAGTATCATGAAGGTTTGCCAAACGTGGTAACTTGAAAATCCAAATTGGATCCATACATGCTCAATTTAGACTGTCGATGTTGAAAGCAACATTTCATCCAGGATGTATTTTGTTCCCAAAATTGATCCTTGGGAGTTCCGTAAACTTTTGAATTTAAATCACTGGTGTAGAAGAATCCTTCACAATCACAGCTCTGAATGCGAAAGTGTTAAACTCTACAAGGTTTACTTCCTTGATTAGGTTGAAATTTAGTTTTATTTAACCCTTCCAAGATCAAGAGAAGACAGCATTTTGACGAAATCATTCAGTGAAGTGCAAGACTTAAAATGTTAAGTAATAGGAGAAGCATTGAAATCATCCCTTAATGTAGCTATTTGCACAAATTGCAGATTTGCCTGATTTTCCTGTTCAAAGATTTTTTAAAAAGAAAACAACAAGTTGCCTATAAAAGGAAATAAAAAGAAGAAAAGACAGTTGTCATAAATGTACCTGTAAAAATGACAGATCCCAGGGGGTTTCACCTCCTAACTTCTGCAGTCACCAACACACAATGACAAACCAGCATTGTCAATGCATGTCGGAATTTGTTTGGTGAATACATTGATTCCATCCATTTCAAATCTGCTAAATATAAAGCCCCCCAAAAATTGATTAACGTGTATTTTTATTGTCATAATCGATGTTTGGGGGGTGAAATTTGTGAAATTTGCTTTGAATCAAGTGCCAGAGTAAACACTGTCCATCTCTTTATTTTGTGCTCAATTTCAAGCAAACTAAATCAAAAGAGGACATGAAACCAGTAGCAAAAGTCAAGAATGTACACGTTACTTTCAAAATTACTTACACCAGAAATATTTTAGTTGTAATACAGATATACCTGCACAACTCCAATTCTACACTTACCTACACTAACCTGCATATGCAGGTGGTATTTCGAGACCTATGCCAACAATCAGTACTGTACATGTACATACCATAAAACTGCCAATACATGATGCAGGTAAACATCAGAAATACCTGCACAGCTCCAATTTTAACCTGCATACCCAGATAGCCCAGTGCAGGTTATGTGCAGGTAGACAACAGAAATACATGTACCTACACATCTCCAATTTTACCTACACTAACCTGCATATACAGGTGACATTTCTACATGTACATGTTATGTACATGTACATGTTTGTAGTACAGATAGTAATGACAAGCCTGTTGTGTTATTTTCCCATTTCAGCTCCATCATGTCCAACCTGGCCAATGCCATGTGCACCAGGTGTCGGGGTGGCTTTGGGCCGTATGAGAAGATGGTCAACTCCAATGGAGAGCTGTACCATGAGAAATGCTTTGTGTAAGTACATTGTACAATGTACATGTATACTGGCTTCTGGCAGATTCTGTAGCAAATTTACTAAGACCTAGGAAAAAAAATGTTGTGTTTCCGGTTTCCTGACTGACCCTAGCCCTTTTTTATTGACTACTAGTAGTAGTAATGCTAAAATATTTTCAATCTAAATTTCAAACCCTCTGAAAGTCTGAAATGTCATTCAGCATGTTTTCAACCAATTTTCTGGATACCTTCCTGCTAGTAAATAATGTGTAAATTATTGTAGTAAATAACATCTTTTCCTTGTTTAGCTGTGCCCAGTGCTTCCAGCCGTTCCCAGATGGACTCTTCTATGAGGTGAGTACCAGTATGATGTATACTATACATTCTTGTGAATTTCGTGAATATTTAGCTTTGTTGGGATGAATTGTAAGAAAATCTTATATTCTAAAATCTTTCCCCATTTCTTCCCAAATCTTGCCCTGAGAGTTTAAAGGTAAAGTGAAATGACTACAGAAGTCAAGGTTGATGTTGTGTTGTTGAATGTGTTACAGTTTGAGGGGAGGAAGTACTGTGAGCATGACTTCCATATGCTGTATGCACCATGTTGTGGGCAGTGTGGTAAGTTACATACATTGTACAATGTACAGATATATACTTCTAACCCTGACTCAAACCCATACAGAATTGCATGTTGGCAAACATTTTACATGCAATTTGAAGGATACCTGCATAACGAGTATATTGTGAAGTCAGCAGTAAGCACAAAAATTTAAACAATTGAACCCCTAGCCTGATTTTTTCAGTTTGCAAAATTGCAGGTTGCTTAATTTTTCTTCTGCAATATTGAAAATATCTCTGCATAATGCAGACTGCAGGTGGGTATTTCTAACTCCCTATTACTACTTGAATGTTTCTCCCAGGGGAGTTTGTGATTGGCCGTGTTATCAAGGCAATGAATAATAACTGGCACCCCGACTGTTTCACCTGCCACACCTGCCATGCCCCGCTGGCTGACACAGGATTTGTCAAGAACGCTGGCAGGTAAAGTTTCCATCCATTTGTTTAATTTTTTGCATATTGTATAAAAACAGAACATGTCAATTTGTAAAAAATTTTGAGACAGATTGTACAGGAGAAACTGGAAACCTACATGTTTTTTCGGGGGGGGGGGCATTAAATGGTGTTAAGTAGTAAACATAATACTTACTGGTATTGTAGTTTATGATAACATTACTTTGTTGATAAGAAGAAACAAGTAAAAAGCAGGTCATTATAGGTACATGCATTCAAGAAATAGAGATACACATTGTTAAGATGCCCCTGTAAACCCTTGCTTGGGAAGAATCTTCAACTTCCAGTGTATTCCTACAATGTACATGTATGTTATTATGATTACTGGATCAGAAGTTGCTGAACGTTACACTTTGTATCCTAGGGCCCTGTGTCGCCCCTGTAATGCAAGGGAGAGGGCTTCAGGACTGGGCAAGTACATCTGCCAGAAGTGCCAGTAAGTCACACATGTTTTGCATCTACCAGGCTACAGAAGTGGCTGGAAAGAGTAGAAATTGGACAAATAGACAGATAACATGATCCTAGGGGAGTTGGTCTGCTAAAGGAGTACAGTTCAGTAATGGCAAGCTGTACTCCTTTAGTGGACCAACTCCCTTGGCATGTTTTCTGTTTTTTTTGGCCAATTTCTACCCTTTCCAGCCACTTCTAAAGCATGGTAGACCTGATACATTTTGTCTGGAATCAATTTGTATGAATTTTTATCCATCTATCCCAAGTGATAGTTTTTGATGACAGTATTTCTACATAGAAGAATTGTTGATACAAGAGTTAGATAAATGTTTTTATTTTCCAGCCAAATGATTGAAGACAAGCATCTGATATTCAAGAGTGAACCGTACCATCCCTACCACTTCAACTGTCACCATTGTGGGTAGGTAACAACCTTCAGTAAGGCAGTAGGAAGTCTTATAAAATGTAACCTCTGTTAGTATTTACCTTCTGGGCTACATATATCTGTACATATATGTGTAGCATGTTCTAGAGATCTATAGTGCAGCACCCCTATGTAACTGCCTCCCTAAAATCAAGACCATAGCATATACATGACAAAAGATACAAAAAGTGAAAATTCTGCTGCGGTACCAAGGAAAGCCAACAGGAGGCCCAAACTCAACCTTGACACTCATCTTACAAAGACCTACCCACATACCAATTATTATTACAAGACACTTAGTCTTTGACAAGGAATGAACAATCCACTGCTTCTGTGACGTCACATTATGCAGATGACACACATGACTCAGTGAGCAGTAGATCATATGTTGCAGAAAGTCTGTGGCCCCCTCTGTACTTTGTTGAGGGATGGTTGTAATGCCCAGAGGTAGATGGCACAAAGAAGTCTGGCCCCGTGTCCTAGATTCTTATTTTGTACGTTGATGAAGGTTAGACATCCAGGTAAACAATATTCAAAGGCAGATCAAACTCTGCTACTCTACTCTTCTTTGGCGTCACTAAATGAAAGGAGAGCACAAGTTGACACTAATAACATGTGAAGGAACTGGAAAACCAGTTGGGACATGACAAAGATTCGTATTTTGTTCATCCGTGAATAGTTTATCAGGTTGGTAAGTCACTGAGTAAAGAGACTCTATTTACACAACCAAGTCTTTTATTCAGCCGACGTTTCGGTGACCGTCTGTCACCTTCCTCAGAGCTATTCTTACTGGTTCACATTGCAATACAGCACAGGTGTCGCTGCTATAGATGCATTCCCAAATGTACAATATTTACATATCTACACATATGCTTGGTTACAGGGAACTGTATCTACGATGCAGTCCCAAACGTACAGGAGTTGGATGTATACAAAATTGTGGTCAGTTATTAAACAAGCCATTTTGTCCGTGTTGTTTACAGGAAGGAGCTGACAGAAGTTGCCCGTGAGCTGCGAGGAGAGCTGTACTGCCTCCCCTGCCATGACAAGATGGGAATCCCCATTTGTGGTGCCTGCAGGTCAGCTACCGTAAATCTCCACATTTTTGTATCGTCAACTTTTCACTCAAACTTTAGTGCTCAACAATCATTGCTCAATGATAGAATACTACAGTACAACAACTGCTAGAAACTGTCACAGTGATAGAATTGTCAATTTGATATGCAGCCTGGCTGTTTAATATCATTCATACTTGTAATGTTAAGAGACATAACATTAGCAGAAATGTTAAGGTTCAATCAAAGAACTGAAAAGCAGCTGCACTTCATAGAAGCGCCACCTTGCAGTGATGTATAGAATTGCATGGCTGCTGTTTGACTTCCCACATTTTTGATGATGAAAAATCTGAGATGTATTACATATAGAAGTTGTAGTGAAATACATGCTGTACCTCCATAGTCTCCAAACTTTAAGAGCTGCCTTTGGAATACCAGGATTCTTCTTAAGTATGTAAGTCATATCTATTCTCTAGAGGATACGGTCTATATCCTAAAGTACATTGTACTAGTACAAAACAGCAGTGGTTTACATGTACAGATGATACAATTGTATTTCATTATCCAGGCGTCCCATCGAGACTCGTGTGGTGAACGCACTTGGCAAGCAGTGGCATGTGGAGGTAAGAACTCTGTAAGGTAGAGGTAAGACTCTGTAGATGTACAGTAACCTCTATTTATCCATATAAAATTTGAGATGTGCAGGTATTTCTGATGTCTACCTGCCTCTAATCTGCACCGGTCCATGTACTGGGCTAATACATGTATACAAATGTAGGTGTATATGGATTTTGATTTGCTGCATTCACTGTTACCACCTTTGAAGTATAAAAGAAAATTTAAGACAAAAAGTCATGGTTTCTGAAGAGTTTTTTGTATAATCCATACTTCTCAAAGTCCGAGTGGTGCAGGTGAAACTTGTCTGGTCCAGGTAATTTTCAATGTTACCAGCCCAAATACTACTATTTGAAAACTTCAATACAAACTCCCAAGAAAATATTGAGATCCTAATGAAACAAACAAACTTCTTTGTTGTGCAGCATTTTGTGTGTGCCAAATGCGAGAAGCCGTTCCTGGGCCATCGCCACTACGAACGGAAGGGCCTGGCGTACTGCGAGACTCACTACAACCAGCTGTTTGGGGACGTCTGTTACTGTTGCAACAAGGTCATCACTGGAGATGGTAGGTCATAGGTCAAGGTCATTGGCATAGCCTGGGTTGTAAGATTATATTTTAAGGCCTACAAAAATAAATGTTTTGTTTCCAGTTGTTACAGTCCTGAAAGGAATAGGGTTGGTAGGTACATTTTGTACTAGTGCTAGTAGGAGGGATTGTTTTTTGTTTTGCTTCTGAAAATGTGTGAAAAAAATAACGTCACATAGGGTTTGAATATCAGATGTCAGATCAAAAATGGTAAGACCTTGTCAGCAGACGCTAGGCTAGGGTCACTGGGTTTTTTTTTTTTCTAGGATCTGTCAGGAAACTGGAAACACAACATATTTTTTCCTAGGCCTAAATAGACTCAATGCCATTTTTCCACCATAAATTAAGAAATTCATTTGGATAGTGTTGTTTCAATGTGCTATGTACATGTAAATAAGTGACTAGAGTATTGACTGTCAAGCCTGCAAACTCAAAGACAAACAAAAAAGTTTATGAAGAGTGAATTTTAGAATACATTATGATCATTGCCTTACTGAATGGATTATGTACATATACATTATTTGTGATTCCAGTTGTGAGTGCCTTGAACAAGTCCTGGTGTGTCGCTTGTTTCGCCTGCTCAATCTGTGACCAGAAACTTACACTCAAGTAAGTACTCATTTTGCTCTTTACATGTACTTTACTACATGCTATAATATGTTTTCTTATCACATTATCACAGAAAACATGCAGTAGATACATGTATATTTTTTTTCAGTTAGAACTCTTAAGAGTTATGTGTAAAGTCTGTATAGTGACAAAATGCAAATAAACTATAACATTCTACTTGTTAGTAAGAGTTCAGGTGTATACAATGACTATTGAGAATACAATGTATGTTGTTAATGGATGCTATACCATGAATTGAAAGTGTATAGCATGTTGGTCTTTTCAGTTTGGTATGTTAGTTCTTTGCATCGTGAAGCATGCATTCAAAGTTATTGAGCCTGAAAATGTATGACTGTAAGTTGCTTTTGTGTGTTTCCTACAATAAACGATTGGGTTTTGGGTGACTGCTACTTGCATGTCTACAATTCACTCAATGTTGCATTGTGTCATACATTTTGTAGCAATATGAATGTGTGTTGTATTGAATTGCCTAGATCTCTTTCTATGTTACTGCAATTATGTTGGATTTTATGATTGTTACTTTGATGCACAGCCACAATATCAAGTAGAAATGTATAGAATTCATATGACTTTCCAAGCTATACACTACTATTTTCAAATGGGCACATTTCATACAGAAGCTTCAACAACAAATTGTATAATCATAAATTGTGGTGGCAAAAGTTGTGCCTGTGCAGTTCAAGTGACATTTGAATCCAATGTTGTTGTGTTTTTTTTGTTTTCTATGGTGTGTAAGTCATAAACACTTGCATGTGTACATATATGTGTGTGTGCATACCATTTTGCTGCTTGAAATACAAGACATGCAATGAGACCTTTCTATATTAGTATTGTGCATGGCAAATCTACACTGAACTAGGTACATGATGTAAATGGTAGACTGATGTATTTTTCCTTGGAGTGTGCGGCTTCCATGCCATGCAAAGGACACGTATAGGTAATATATGCACATGTAGTTAGTGTATTGTCCTTTTCTATATGTTTGTTGTTTGGATTGCATGTTTTTTTACAACCCCTATTTTGGTATGCATAATGTATTAAGATTAATTATGATATTTTTTAACATCACAGTAAGGGCATGAAAGGTTAGAAATGTTGATTGCATGCATGAAAAATTTTCATTTCGATTCCCTGCAATGACATTCTTCTTGTGATTGAAATAACAGGATTGCCCCTTTTGAAATACATTCACATACTCACTTTGAAGCCGATGTTCATGCAACATTCATAGACGGGTCGTTACACTATTACAACCTATGGTTACACTCTCAAAATTGCCAGGCACGTTGAATATATTCCTTGGCTAAAAATCTACCATGTCACGTTGGCTGTGGCCTGCAAGAAATCCAGACAACACTGGAAAATATTCTTCCGATAGTTTCTGAGAACTCCTTTCCTGCTGTGTTTGTTTGTTTCAGCCTTAGTCAATTCGTACAATACTCAAATTGGCCTTCAAGCCACTTTTCATTGAAGTTTTAAAGGAAGACAAAATGTAGCAAGATACAGATTATACAGACCCTTAACATATCTTTCTGTTGTCCCCATGCATTTTGTTGTACCTAACCTTCCCAGCTACAGTACAGCAGCATGTTGGCAGAACGTAATGCGCTTGTGTGAAACCTGTATTTCTTGTTGGATGTTTGGTCAATATTGCATCAGAATTTTGCCTGTTGGAGGTGATATCTTTTTTTTTTAACACAACATTTGAAAACTATAGACAAGAATGTGATTTACGCGTATACAACTTTAGAGTTAAAAGAGACATTCTACCCAAGTATCATGCACAAGACATTACGGGTTTCACGCAGGCGCAGTACGTTCTGCCGTCTTGCTCAGTACAGGACCTGTGTCTTGGAATGACCCTCAATCATTTCTGTACTCACCATGTGTACATTCCACACAGCACCAAGTTCCTGGAGTTTGACATGAAGCCCGTCTGCAAGGCCTGCTTCGTCAAGTTCCCCATGGAGCTGAAGAAGCGCTATAAGTGAAGGCGCTGACGCCTGTCTGTCACGCCTGTACCGTGTACGCATGTAGGTTGGACATGCCGCAGTCAGCAATAATAATACAATCTCCTGCATGTTACTACACAGTTTAAAGGCATACTCTACGTGTATTATGACCAGACTAAAAAGATTACCGTAATTCCTGATTTTTTTTCACAGACTTTTATGTTTGCAGTTTTCACCTGCCACCATTGTGAACATACATGTATATTCCTGTAGACATTGAACTACCCCAGCCAGGTCATGATAATACACCAAAAGGAAGGGAAGGATATGGCTATCAAAGAGATTTTTTCTATGAAATTATCCAGGAAAGTTTTTAAGATGCCTTTTAAAAATTTTGTTTCAAACTCTGACAAAATATCTTTATCTTACTGTGAATACATTGAATACAGTAGGTATGCCTTTAAGCATCACAGCTTACATTCATGTTGATTTATCATTCTATACCTTCACATTACCATGTTTAGCCTTCAGCACTCTAAAGGGCCCATTTAACACCAGCCTTGTGTTGGTTCTCTTGGAGTCCTGAAGGTAAAAAATGCTGGCAAACTTTAATTTGGTGATGGCCTTTCTCCATAATAGATCCACTTTTTCCAAGTGTCTAGTAAATAGTTAGGAAGGTGACATGCCACTAATTAACTTACTAACAGTTTTCATTGCTGCCTTATGAAAGCTATATTTTGTTTGACAGAATGTGCATGAAGAGCCATCTTGTACATGTATATAGAAACTGCTGCAATAGTAGATACGAAAGCCATGTAGCTTTGCTTTTCCAACTCTCAGCAATAATACAAGACATTGTCTGCTAGCATATAATATTAATAATTAGTAATATGCTTAGGGTGCTTTTTGATTTTAATCCATAACTTGCCATCATTTGCATTGCTATAACAAATCCTTTCCTTTTCCACTTTTCCTAGGCACTAACAGCCTTGTGCTCTCCTAGCCCTTACAGCACTTGCATGGAAGAAACAACACCTATACTAGCAATACCTGGTTTGACATTTTTGCTCTGTGCTGTATATGTAGTTGTTTTGCTTCGGTGAGACAATATTCTCCTTTTTCCCATTCCCATGATGCATAGCGCTAGGGGGGTAAAATCTCCCAGGATGCATAACGCACGGAGGTCGGAACCTGAACAATTCCAACCACCTGGTGCTATGCAACCTGGGAATTTTTATGCCCCCCCCCCCCTCGGTGCTATGCATCCTGGGAATGGGAATATGGTGAAATGGTGCATCCTGCAGTAGTGGTGGCGGTGCATGATGGGAATTGCTTGAGTCGTGTGACCTGCTAATTTATGCGCATGTAGTTTGTTTTGTTTTCAGAGGTTTTCTAACGACGCGCAGCATGCCATGCACTTTTCATTAACCAAAATACTAATTCTAATTCCCTTTTTTTCCTGTCAGGAGGGTTTTATCTTTCAACTTTTCTCAAACACTTTTATGATGCATCTTTCTTCTTTGTGTGGTACATTGAACAAATGCAAAATTGAAGAAACACTAACCATTGTATTGTATGCACAAGTTTGTGGCATTTAGACTTTAGACTTTGTTGTATAATGTAGTATCTTTAGTTCACAGTTGAAACAATCATGATAGTAAATATTATAAAAGAATTTAGTTGCAGAACAATTCTACATTGTACAATGTTTGGCAAAAACTATTCAACATAGTAAAGAAAGAAGGTATAGAATAACATTTAACATCCTATTTGTGGTGTTGAGTTTGCAGTGAGAGGTACGGAATTTCAACTTAAAACACCGCAAAAATTTCAAAATTTACAATTGGCGAGGATGGCACATATATGTAGGCTTTCTGCACTTATTTGCCACATGATGATTCAACGTACTTTGTTAAGAAAAGACCAGAAAATTTCCTTTTTGTATCATCCAAATGTTACATAATGCAGCTTGATTAAGGAAGCATGGCATTTCACCAACTAGGGCATACAGAATCTTTTTGTTATACCACTAATTTTAAGTCTTTCTTCTTTTTCTTTCCTATTGTGCACAGGAGTCGATTCATAGAGGTTGATATGAGGCCTGTCTGCAAGAAGTGTTACGAGAAACTGCCGACGGAACTGAAGAAACGTCTGAAGACCTAGAGAAATGGGGTTTTGTTGAGAATCCTATCCCAGCATGCAATGTTCCAAAATGGCTGCCGCCCTTCACTGGTGACCTTCACATACTGAAGTTATAGACTTTGTAGAGCAGAAAAACAAGAACGTACAAGTGATTGTGAAAATGTGTTGATAAAGAAAAGACTTGACAATAATTTACTGATGTGAACAGTTTTCTAGCCAAAAGTTGCGTGCTGGGATAGGATACAGTAACTGTTATGGTTGGAAGATGGCAATGATGTTGAAAGAAGGAGAAGTTAAAAAAGAGTGAAATTACATAGTAGAGTTTTGTACAACATAGTTTTTCTTATACTTACCCCAAACCAGAGAAAAGGCATACGTATTGGACACTGTAATAATAGGTAAAACAAATCTTCACGATCAGTCAGATAGGTGCAATAAGAAACGGTGCTAAAGAATTCATAATATCTCAGATAACTACATTGTGTCATAATGTAGTTTATCTTTTCTTGGAATGACATGCCAACACTACCTGTGATTTCAGACTAGTAATATAGCCAATATCCACGGTACATCTAATCATGAAAGGAATATGTAAGTTTTCTCTATTTCAGTGTACAGTACTTTGCTTTTGTGGGTTATTGATATTATACTCAATATTTTCAGCATTTAAGCCATTTTTTGTACTTGGTACATACATATGTACATGTATGTATGTATGTATGTTCATATATGTATGTACATGTAGGTAAATATCCAGTTTGCTTAGTTATAACCTATATTTTACAATCCGTATTTACCAAAATGATATTTAAGTTTAATTAAGCTCTCTTAAGCAGGCTTCACAGCTACTTTGGTCTTATATGTGCTACATTTGCACTAATATTTTGTGTTATGAATTATATTGATGCAGTAGATTCAGTGGATGGTAGAAAATTAAAGTATTTAATATACATTATATAGGGGCAAGGAAAATATGTATAGACGCTTTTCATTGGTGCCAACATTGTTTACCAGATAAGTCACAAGTCACACTCAGTCTGTTGAAGAAGACCACAGTGAGGTCTAGGTGAGAAAAGTTCTTTGTGTTGGAACAAAAGCTTTAACTCCAAACATGTACCTACCAACACAGATAAACTTTCGATATAATATGTGAAAAGCCTGTATACATGAAAAGTTGACAGATATTTTGGTGTCTTAGATTGATCTCGCATATTGAGTGTGATATGGTTTCAGGGACGAACATTCAATATTTGCCATACTTAGGATTTTCCCCGCAAGCATATAAAATTTCTATAAAGTATCTGTTGGTCTAAGGCAATTTAGTGCTTGATTCTACATGTATATGCATGGCCCCTATACATGCAACGTGATGTAATACGGTAGAGAGAAAAGAATGGCCTGTAATGTTTTATTTATTTTAACCAGTTTGTCTTCCTCACCACCAACTTACATGTACACGCAGTGGAAACAGTCACTTTTTTGGTCTTAATTAAGCTCAATTATGCTCTTTTTAATTGATTATGGTCATATTACTTTATGTATCTACAGGTTTTATTTTTTGGATGTGGTATTACTAAGACAAGGGAATTTTGTTTCATTTACATATATTTAGAACAATAAAATGTTCCCTTTTTTCACCAGATGCCTGTAATTCTTTCAATCCATGTTGAGAATGCATATTCTATTATTTGTGTATTATAGTAGCCTGTGTTAAACATTTATCTCACCACCATGGGCTGATTGGCCTTGAAATCGAGCAAAAAACATAGCTTCAGGTTTATACCGAGGACAGGTATGTTTTTGGTGTTTTAATGGAGTTCAGCACCAAGGACAGGTGTGTTTTGGTGTTTGAATAGAGTTCAGCACCAAGGACAGGTGTGTTTTGGTGTTTGAATAGAGTTCAGCACCAAGGACAGGTGTGTTTTTGTGTTTTTGGTGTTTGAATAGAGTTCAGCACCAAGGACAGGTATGTTTTGGTGTTTGAATAGAGTTCAGCACCAAGGACAGGTGTGTTTTTGGTGTTTGAATGAAGTCCAGCACCAAGGATGTGTGTTTTTGGTGTTTGAATGAAGTTCAGCACCAAGGACAGGTGTGTTTTGGTGTTTGAATGAAGTTCAGCACCAAGGACAGGTGTGTTTTGGTGTTTGAATGGAGTTCAGCACCAAGGACAGGTGTGTTTTGGTGTTTGAATAGAGTTTAGCACCAAGGACAGGTGTGTTTTGGTGTTTGAATAGAGCGCCGCTTCCGTGTTCGCTTAGTTGTGCTGTGGCACCGTCCTAGTTCTGCAACGACCCTTTGTTCGAAACATTGTTCTGGAACAGCAAACTCCCTTTGTTCTAGACTAGCAACGGCGTTCGATGTGGTTTGTTTACAATCTTGACTGACTCGGAGCGAAAAAGACGTAGACGTGAGCTACTCCTTTCCTCTGTCAAGAGTTGAGTTATTTCAGCCAACATGTCGAAACGAGGTGGCCGGCGAAGGCACCGGCGGGCTCGAGCTCGGGCCGCTATAGCTACTTCTTCCACTTTCCCGGCCTGTAACGTGCTGGATGAGCCGCGGGACGGACACCGGCTGGTGTTTAAAGCGGCTATGATTACTATGTTGCTTCTTGTAACTGTGACTACGGTGAGTCTGCTACATTATCACTTCATATCTCTGTACCATCTTTTACATATGCCAAAATAGGTAGTCTGATATGTTACCATCGACCACTGATTGCCCATTAGTTTACGTTGCCTAGCTGTTCTTTATGCATGAACTATCGTGATAATCATTTCAGCTTTATATTAACCTTGAGGAAGTTTAGACGATTGTTCACTGAACATGATGAAAAGTTCTCCAAGTTGAGAAACAAAGGATGCCCACCCAGGCCTTGCCTGTGTCCAAACTCTGTTACTATGGAAGAATGTGTATGTTTCAGGTGGTTACTGAGACCGCCACAGTTCAGTGGTACTACAACAACACCGCTGTAGATACTACATCTGCCAGCCTTCCCCCGTACCGGAGCTGGGGATACAGCACAGGGACGGATCCCGAGGTTGCGCACAACACCGGGAAAAGGTTCCCAGTAAAGCCCGGATTTGGAGACGACCCGACTCTGATTCCCGACGATGTGATCACTGATCCTGGCATGCCTCCTGGGGATGAAGTTCGCCCACCTATTCAGGGGCCAACTGTCTTTGGATGCAGCGTGCAGGAGGAAATTGACGGCGTGCCGGATATCCTCAAGTCCTGGGCCTTCATGACGACAGATCAGCGCAACGTGTACCTCGCCATGGCGCGGCTTCGCATCATGAAGCAGATCTTCGAGGTTCTGAACCGCGAGTTTGATCCTGAGATGATGGCCCAGTTTGCTCCCGCCTCTAAGATGACCCAGTCTGCGCTGAAGCCGGACACATCTACTGATGAGAAAACAAAGGGCGACATGGAGAAGACGGAGATGGCTGCGGAAGGCAGGGTGCTGGTGGAGAACGCCACAGAAACGACAAACAACACGACAAGCCACGAGGGGAAGCACCGCATGATCGGGGGTATCCGGTGGGTTGAGACGGTCGCACTTACCGTGTTTGGTGTGGTGGCTGCGGGGTCGGTGGCCTACAGCTACAGCTGCACGGCACAGATCACTTAAGTTAGAGACAGGTCCACACGTGGTTGGAACCGATATGGTTTATCTATGAGTATGAGCTTCTGATGAAGTTATACTTTTAATGAAAACAGAAATACCCCTGCCAAGATGGCAAACCTACGTCAGATGTAATTAACATTTCTTGACACTCTCGGTAATGAATTGGTACATTTGAGAAACATTGTTCATTTGCTTGTTTTACAGTGAGGTTAATTGATAACTGTGATTCTTTTTTTTTTCTACTAAAGACATAAATGCCTGAGAGATGCTCTGTTACTTACTTTGTTAAGTACCCACGTCAACATTACTTAAGATCCAATCTCAGATATAGATCACACATTTCATTGTCATGTCTCCTTTTTCATGACTGGTATGAACGTCGTGTGAGGAAAATGTGCCTTTTTTAACATGTATCTTCTGTGTATTAAAGAGAACTTTGCGCGAAACATGAGTCCGTTTCATGTGTTTTAAATATATCTGTTAATATAAGTATAAAGTATAAGAAGAGAGTTTTTGATCAGTGAAGAATGTTGCGTTGTGTTTTCAACAGTTACGTCATTACCCTTAGCTTTAGAAGGGGACTAGAAGAATTACTCATACATGTTGTGCATTATACGTGAAGGTGAAGTTATTTGGGAAATCTGTTGAGAATAGTGAGGGCACGTCAATAAACAGAACGCTACTACATTATAACAATACTCAGCACCAAGGACAGGTGTGTTTTTGGTGTTTGAATGGAGTTCAGCACCGAGGAAAGGTGTGTTTTTGTGTTTGAATAGAGTTCAGCACCAAGGACAGGTATGTTTTGGTGTTTGAATAGAGTTCAGCCCCAAGGACAGGTGTGTTTTGGTGTTTGAATAGAGTTCAGCACCAAGGACAGGTGTGTTTTTAGTCTTTGAATGGAGTTCAGCACCAAGGACAGGTGTGTTGTTGGTGTTTGAATAGAGTTCAGCACCAAGGACAGGTGTGTTTTTGTGTTTTTGGTGTTTGAATAGAGTTCAGCACCAAGGACAGGTATGTTTTTGGTGTTTTAATGGAGTTCAGCACCAAGGACAGGTGTGTTTTGGGTGTTTGATTAGAGTTCAGTACCAAGGATAGGCGTGTTTTGGTGTTTGAAAAAAGTTCAGTACCAAGGACAGGTGTGTTTTGGTGTTTGAATGAAGTTCAGCACCAAGAACAGGTGTGTTTTTGGTGTTTGAATAAAGTTCAGGACCAAGGACAGGTGTGTTTTTGGTGTTTGAATGAAGTTCAGCACCAAGGACAGGTGTGTTTTTGGTGTTTGAATGAAGTCCAGCACCAAGGACAGGTGTTTAATGCTTCTGGGAATATCCTTGA